CCCCCCCCCCCCCCCCCCCTCAGCCCCATATGTGATACACTGAATCAAGCCACGGTCCAAGCTAAGCTGTGGCGGTGCCCTCGCCCGCAACTTCACAGACTAGCCAACCCCTGGACTCGCACCGCCGGCGAAATGCCTCACCTGGGATACCTGCAAAGCCCATGTTCATGGCCGCCGTGGAAGCGGCAGCAGCGGTAGCGGCAGCAGTCGCAGATGCAGCACCGAGCGAGGCGGGCGGAAGGCCTGCCAAAACCAAGAAAATGGGCGAGAGAAGCGAATTTGAGATGGAAGGTGGGGGGAGCAGTTGGCGTCACCAGGGATGCAGGGATGGTCACAAAAAGACGCTTGATCACCGATTACTCTATAACCGAGTGATTGTCGGCACCGCAACTCTCAACTCCACAAATGAAGACGGTAGCTGTCGACTGGGGCACTTGCGACTTGAGGGCTTTAGCGCATGTACCGCTAGGTGTATCCAGGGGTGAACGTCTACCTCGTTTGCGTTCAACTGATTGCAGGGTGCACGAGAACGAACAAAAGCTACACGCCCTGCCTACAAGCAGGGCTAGAGCATCATCTCGCTTGGCTTGGATCGGAAGCAACACGTCTTGACCCTTGAACTACAGCCAAGCACGCGGACAACTCCTTCCCAAACAAAAATTCAACCGCCCCTCAGCCGATGATTTCAGGATCGAAGACACTGTAATAGACCCAAACTGAAGAAGCAACTGCCCCATGCAATGAAGCGGATCGTCTACTGCAGACAATTTTTTCCAACTCTTCTCCAAACAAAAACTGCTGTAGCTACGGCGACCCATCAACACGAACTTTCGATAAAAGTCAACTTTCCCGCTAAAAGTCAACCTTGAACAAGTACTCTCTTGGAATCTGGGGGCAAAGAACAGTTTCTACTGTAACAATGACGAAAACAGCGAGCAACAACTCACCTGCACCGGTACCTCCTCCGAAGCGCGACATGATGTTGGCGCGGTTAGTGCTGTCCATCTTAACCCCGCCGGCGCCCTCGTCATCGTCGAGCTTCCAATTGCTGGATGCCGCAGTAGACGACTGCTGCCCGGCCGTAGTAGCCGCGGCCAGGGAGGCCGCGTGAGCGGTGGCTGCGGCCGCCGCGGCGGCGGTGGCGTTGGCGTTGGCGTCGAGGTTCTTCGGGATCGTCTTGGGGTCCGCCTTGCAGTAGGAGACCTGTTGGTGACGGTAGTGTTGGGCGGTCAAAAGCACGATGATATGCAATACTGCTGTTACGGTGCCGTGTCTTGCGGGTGCCGTTGCGGCCAACGTGGAGTCAGCGTGCAAGGGTAACTCAAGTCCGACCAACCGGCGACCAACGCTCGTTGGCAGCAACCCTCCAGGCACATCTTCGAGGACACCATACAATGACGAAGATAGCAACAATGGCGACAGCTACGACCAACACAACTAAAGCAGCAACACAAACGTCACGTGCAAGGGCCGTGCAACTCCAAGCACCCGGCGACCAATACTCGCTGGGGGGAAGCTACTACTTCCAGCCACATCGTCAAGGGAAGCAACAACTACGACGACTATTTACGACAACCACTCAAGCACCAATACCATCACCAGCGAACAACGTACCGCCAGAGCTTTTCCAGCAACCTCGAGGCCGTCGAGCTTTTCGAGGCAAGCATTGGTGCTTTCCGTGTCGGCGTAGGTGACAAAGGCAAACCGCTTGCTCTCTCCAGCTTCGTCTCTGTGTAGGATGAGCTGGGTAACCTGGATTTTTGTTGAATGAGGGGAGAACGCGCGATGGGAACATATCGCATGAATGCATGCGAGAAAGCGAGAAAGAGCCACCACGGCCCGAGAAAGGACGCCACATGCATACATGGCAACGTCAGCGAAGGAAATCTCATCCAGAAACGAAAGCCCAACGGTCGTGTATATCTTGTTCTCTTGCGGGCGCGCCCTAGGGCACGGGACTCGACAGCCTACAGGAAAGGGGGGGTAAAAGAGCAAGAACGGTCCAGAGGGAAAAACAAAACATAAGAGAGACGGAAAAGCGCGATCAACTTCGTACCCTCGCCGCTCGCCCGGCACAATACTCGATATTCCGTAAATGGTATTTCTTTGTCACACATGTTGCTCGGAGATGTTCCGTTCCAAGCATTGTCTGGGAAGAGAACAACAGGCGCTACCAGATGCAGATGGCGTCCATGCAAGCCGAGCACAAAACAAACCTGAGGCAATGCTTGGAAAAAAGAATCAAGAGGGAGATAAAAGTCCTGACCACACATGACATGGGGAGCTCTGGCACGAACCTCTCCGAAAGAGCGGCAGATCTCTCCCAGGTCGTCTTCCGTGATGTTCTGGTGCAGGTTTCCAATGTGCAGCTTCAGACCGGCCAGAGCGGCAGCGTTTCCGAGGATGACGTGTCCGGTTGGGTTCTTCGCCTTCTCTTCCTGTTGTTCGAAGGAAAAATATGACGAATCAGTCTATGCAAGTTGATAGGATTATTTTGGGCACGGTAGGACAACAATCACCAATTCAAACATGCAACGGGTCAAGCTCTACGCAACCAATACCAGAGACGAGATTTCACCAAACACAAAATGGGGAATGGGTATCGTCGCCGATGGGACTACGGGCCCTTGCCCCGCGGTTTTCTACAGCGCGAATGCATAAAATCGACCACCGCTTAACGGTGATCCTCAAGACCCGATCGAGTCACCATCCTCCCTGCGACGCCCGTTGAAAAAGGGAAGACACAAACGGCACTCGGCGACTTTCGGTTAACTTGGCGCCGAAATTTTGCGCGAGATTATGCTGGTATGAATTCTTTGAAAATTCACCTGATCATCGAATCAGAGGGGAAACGAGCCTCACCTTCAGGGAAACGACCCCGAGAAGCAAAAACACAAAAATAGCCGATCTACGTCCCGTGTATTATGCTTACGTGGCGGCATTATTTGGCACGAAATACAAAGACACGCCAAGAATACCAAACCACCGATGTTTGGGACTCGCCTGCTTGGCGAGGTAGTTCTTCTCCGCTTCGCTAGCCTTCACCATGACAGGGAACTTCTGGAAGTCGGGCACGCGCTCATTGAGCTGTAGCACCACGGGCACCGAGTCGAGGTCCTTCATCTCCACGTACGCGAACCCCTGCAGAGGAGGTCGGAAAGCACCAAGTTGTGCGGCGAGCGAAGGGGGTTGGCTTCTACTCACCACGAGAACATCGGAGATATTTACGCAAGCGCGAGAGGTTGAGTGCGTGGTTGGGTAAAAAAATTTAGGGGTTAGGATTGAATACAGCCGTATCGAACAGATGCGAAGTAATGAAACCTCGAAGCTTTGCAACATTTATCCATGAATCAAACACACTTGACCTACAACTTCAACTATCATGCCCCACCGTCGAGAAACCTTACAATCGCAAAACACAACATGGTAGCGTGAAGGTGGTCTCCGGGTCGCACATGGCCCACATTGCACTGGGCACCAGTCGGGGAATAAGCTGCAGTACTGTGAATCAGAGACACGTCTCTACTGTGCGAGAGTTAACGGAACCGAAGCGGCCGGGATTTTCGTCATCATTTCAAGTTGAAACTTCCCACCAAACTAGAAACAATAGTCGCAACAACATTTGGAATAACGTTTGCACACACAGTAGGTGATGGGAGATGTTTTTCAAAACCATGTTCGCGGGGATCGGGGCTATTACCTTGTGACGGGGCAGGGCCCGGCCCCGCATGGCGTCGCCGCCATCCTTCATGCCCGTCACCAGACACACGAAAACGATAAGGTAACCATGATCATAACAAGATTGTCACAAATGATAAAATCACGAATATACCCGACGTTGCAGTGGCCAGGGGATTGCGGTAGCCACGACAAGGCCGAAATGACTAGGTACAAGGAGGTTAACAAAGTTTTACGGACAAATACATCAGCAACAAAGCCGTCAACAGGTCAACATACCGTGACTCGTACAATTCCGCACAAGAGAGCGGGACATTGCGAATAAGCCGTCAGCCGCACAAGTCTGACACCGAAATCACCGTCGTGCAACACAAACGCATTTGGGTTGAATAAACAAGTTCAGCACAGCAAACAAGAGAAACACTGTGAAGAACTCATGAACACGTACTGGGAGAAGCCGTTTTGTTATGCTAAGACCTCAACACTTGTGAAGCGACTTCACCTCAAGAAGAGAAAAAAAAACGTCACAACCGTTGAACAAACCAAGCACAAGACGTTAGGAAACATAAATACGCACACAGTAAGACTACCCATTCGAGATCAAGCACCAGACATCTGATCGCATTTGCAATCGTCAAACGTTCGTTCGTGGTACCAGCAGCAGCAGCAGTTAGAACTACTTGTTTGATCGATTGATGACGCATATTATCAATACAGTCTACAGTTCACCCAACTTTAAATGGACAATAGCAAATCTGACATGGAAGAATTAGTTTTGTGCGTCTCCGCTTAGTCCAGTATGACAGGTAAGAGGAACAACGGCTCCACACTCACTTAACGACAACGAAACACCAATCAGTTTATCGATTGTATGGGCGCACCTTGTGGCGACTGGTGAACTTGTCGCGGAGCATGATGACGTTGTTGACCTCCCCTAGCAGCCCGAAGTACTTGGCCAAGTCATCCTCGGTGACCTGGACAAAACCAAAATCGCCCGGGAAGACAGGAGAGGAAAATTCACACCATTGTAACACACGCGGGTCATAAACACGGTCCTACAAATAAGGTACCAACACATAACGGTTGGAGATGTCACATTTTTGTCACACGATCCCTGTTGGGAGCCTTCGGGTGTGACTACGGAGTGCCCCCCGACATGGCATCGTGTCCTAACCCGGGTTCGACAGGCAGACAGACCGACGACACAAAACAAACATTTACGAGAGAGCAACTGGGCAATTTTGAAGTTTTTCTGGGCGCAGGGGACGAGACACCGGCACCATCTCCTCCTAGTGCTACAGCAAGGGGTATCCGATACTGTGCTAAAGCAACGTCGTTCGTGCGTTCAAGCAGCATACATACATGTAGAGATTCCCAATCAAAATTGAAGTACCGACAGGAGTATTCAGTAAAGAGCACACTTGGTTGATTGCGTTTCATCGTTCTGCTGCTAGATAACGCATCGCGCGCTTTGGACTAGGAATACGCGCCCGACGCACGGGAGGAGCAACGAAGATTAAGAATTTGGAACCCGACAACACCCAAAACACAACTCTTAAAACACTTACTTTCATGGTGAGCTGATTGACGAACACGGTACGCTGGTCACGCGTGAGTTCGTCGATGGCGGCACGCTTAGCTGCCTCTTCCCTCTCCTCCTTGCTCTTCTCCGTCCTCTCGGAGCGGCGAGGGCTGCGGCTGCGGCTCCTGCTGCGGCTCCTGCTCACGCTGGAGCGCCGGCTCCGGCGGTGAGAGCCGCCCTCCTGTTACCGTACAAGCAGCAGCAAACGCAGCGGGGGCGGCGGCGGCGGCAGAGTCGCCGAAAATGACGGGGGGTGGCTTGACACAGAAGACATGCTCTGCTTCCTCAACACTCCTGCCCCACTGCTGCATCGGCGCCAACAAAGGCGCGTTTGACATGGAGTATTCTCACCGATGCGCAGCTACCATACTTGGGTAAAAATGTGCACCGCTGCGTTCCGTACATGGGTGCCAACCCGACCCGGACGGTTACATCATGCCCACAAGAGACACTCGCGTCAAGTGGAACGATGAACACGCGGAATGGTCTAGACACTCGTACTGAGCGCCATGTACTCATAACACGAACGAGGCATGGCCACTATCTTCGTTTTGGGGAATTGGACGACAGCGTGGGAACAATCCTTCGGGGGGGGGGG